GCCACATCCCCCCATCCCTGCTGCACAGGCAGGATCCCACTCCAGCCCAGCCAGGGCAGGGAACCCCCTCCCGGGGCTGGAGGGGGAACTGGGGAACCACCCCAGGGCTGGGGGGGAGCTGGTGACACCCCCAGGACCAGGCACCAGGGGGTTACAGCAAAAACCAGCTTTGGCGGCCAAAATCCCTCTTAAGGCTTTAATCTCATGAGAAAGTGGCGGGGGAGGGGGGGGGTGGCAGTGCCACCGCGTGTGCCCCCCCTGCTGTCCCCAGCCCTGGGTGGGGGGGCACGGGGACAAGTGCAAATTTAAGACAAATCCCTAAACCTGGCTTAAAATTCAGTGGGATTTAAGGGGTGGGGGGGAAGAGGGCGGGAGGACGCAGTGGGGAGAGGGGCTGGAGGGTTTGGGGAGCCCCCCCTGCCCCCCCCGTGTGGGGGCCCAGGCGCTGGCCAGGGTGTAAAGGTCGGTGCTGGCGGTGTTTGCACACGGAAGTGGCACCGTCCCCGTGTGTCCCCGTCCCGTCCCGGGGCCTCCTCCCGGCTGGCACAGCAGGTAGGGAGGGCAGGGATCAGGGATGGAGCCCCCCCAGCCCGTGGCATGGGTAGGATGGGTGGTGGGGGTGTCCCCCACACAGGGTGGGCACCCGACAGGGACCCCAGGTGTGTCTGTGTGGGGACACGGGGTCCCCTGGGCCTGGCACAGCCAGTGTCCTGTGTCCATGGGCACACAGAGGCCCTGCTGCTGCAGCAGGGGCCCATTGGGATTGGGATCAGGGGGTCCCCATAGAGACGGGGCTCTGGAGGTCCCCATGGCCCCATAGGAATAGGAATAGAGGGGTCTCCTTAGAGACAGGATGCTGGGGGTCCTCACTGGGATCAGGATTGGGGGGGTCTCCTTAGTCCATGTGGCCCCATAGGGACAGGACTCTGGGGGTCCCCATGGCCTCATAGGGACAAGTCTCTGGAGGTTCCCATGATCCCATAGGAGTGAGACTCTGGGGGTCCCCATAGGGATCAGCCTCGGGGTCTCCATGACCTCATAGGGAAAAGCTCCTGGGGTCTTCATAGGGGTCAGGCTCTGGGGGGTCCCCATTGCCCATAGGGACTGGGCTCTTGGGGTCCCCATAGCCCCAGAGGGGTGGGGCTCTGGGGGGTCCCCATAAGGACACTCTCTGGGGGTCCCCACAGCCCCCCATAGCCCAGGCCTTGCTATCCTGACCCCAGTCCCTGCCCCATGTCCCCATGGCCGTGGTGATGGGATGGGGGCAGTCCCCCACATCCCGTGACCAAATCTTGCTCCACCCCACACCCAGCGTCACCCCAGCCCCCCCAGGTGACACTGCCTCTGGAAGGACCCCAGGATCCATCAGGGAGTGACACCAGGTCCTAACCGGGCATTTTGGGGTGCAGGGAAGGAAAGGAGAACATCCATGGGGTTCCAACCCTCCCTGTCACCCCTGTCACCGCAGACCTCGCCGTGCTGGGATGGCCCCGGATGCCTGAGCCCCCCTGGCCCCTCCCCAGCCATGGAGACCGTGGTCATCGTGGCCATCGGGGTGCTGGCCACCATCTTCCTGGCGTCCTTCGTGGCGCTGGTGGTGGTGTGCAGGCAGAGGTACTGCCACCCCAAGGACCTGCGCCACCACTACGACACCAAGTGAGTGACAGCGCCAGGGAGGGACCTCAGCGGGCCCCACGGGCTGGGGACAGCAACATCAAGGGGACAGTGTCAGGGACAGGTCATGGGGGGATGATGGAGGGGACGTGTCCTCTGTCACGGGGGGGAGGGACGATGCAGGGGACGTGTCCAGCATCACCATGGGGACAATGAAGGGGACACATCCACTGTCATTGTGGGGATGAAGCTGAGGACACATCCAGCATCATCAGGGGGACAACGAAGGGGACATGGCCAGCATCATCAAAGGGATAAAGCTGGGGACACGTCCATAATCATCAGGAGCACAAAGCTGGGAACGTGTTCACTGTCATTACAGGGATGATGAGGAGGAGGTGCACAGCATCAGCAGGGGGACAAAGATGGGGACATGTTCACCATCATCAGTGGGGCAAAGATGGGGACACGACCACTGTCATCAGGGGGACAGTGCAGGGGACGTGTCCAGCATCATCAGAGGGAAGAAGTTTGGGACTTGTTCACCATTATCAGGGGGATGAAGCTGGGGACATGTCCAGCATCATCAGGGCCGTGGGGCAGCCCGAGGAGGTGGCCTTGTCCCCATGGATGTCCCCCATGTCCCCAACAGACCCATCGTGGACCTGATGGGGACCTCGGAGACGCCGTCAGAGCCCTCGGAGCTGGAGCTGGACGACGTGGTCATCACCAACCCCCACATCGAGGCCATCCTGGAGAACGAGGACTGGGTCGAGGACGCCTCGTGAGTGTGTGTCCCCTGTGTCCCCCCAGTACCAGGGACCCCTGTGCAGTGCCAACCCCCCACCTTGGGATGCAGGTGGCAGCTTTGGGGGTCACCAAGGCATGGGGATGGTCCTCAAGGTGGTCTCAGGGTGGGAATGTCCCCACGGGTCTGGGGGACACGGGGTGTGGGGCTGGTGGGAGAGAGGGGACAAGGATGGAGCGGGGGGGGACACACACCTGGGTTCACACCCTCCTCCCTCTCCACAGGGGTCTGGTGTCCCACTGCATCGCCATCCTGAAGGTGAGACGGGGCGATGGTGGCTATGGTGGTACTGGTGGTGATGGTGGGTGGCACTGGTGGTACTAGTGACGCTGCTGCTGATGGTGGCACCCAATGGCTAAGTGCTGACACAGAAGCATGGGTGGTGATGGTGGGTGGCACTGGTGGTACCGGTGGAACTGGTGGCCAAGGTGGCACTGGTGCCAGTGGTGAGTGGCACTGGTGGCAGTGGTGGTGCTGGTGGTTGGCACTGATGGTACTGGTGGCAGTGGTGGCAATGGTGACCCTGCTGTCCCCAGATCTGTCACACGCTGACAGAGAAGCTGGTGGCCATGACCATGGGCTCGGGTGGCCGCGTGAAGTCCCCTGCCAGCCTGGGTGACATCATCGTGGTGGCCAAGCGCATCAGCCCCAGGTGATGGGGGGCTCTGGGGGGTCCCAGGGTTCTGGGGGTCCCTGGGGTTTTGGGAGGTGAGGGTCCAGGGGCTCGAGGGGGAGACCCCAGTGCTCTGGAGGGTCTGCAGGGATTTGGGAGGGGGAGATTCAGGGGCTCTGTAGGGGTCCCTGGGGTTCAGGGGGTGTCCCAGGGCTCTGGAGAGGGGCATTCCGGGTTTCCCAGGGCTCTGAGAGGAGGCCCTGGAGCTCAGGAGGGTCCTGGGGCTCTGGGGGCAGTCCTGGGGCTCTAGGGGGACCCTGGGACTCTGGAGAGGCTGTCCCTGGACTCTGGGGTTATTCGGGGGGCTCTGGGGGGAAGTCCTGGGGGTCAGGAGGGTCCCAGGGCTCAAAGGGAGGTCCTGGGTCTCTGGGAGGGTTCCTGGGGCACAGGGCGGGACCCTGGGACTCTGGGGGTGTCCTTGGACTCTGGGTTACTTTTGGGGCTCTAGGGGTAAGTCCTGGGGGTCAGGAAGGTCCCAAGGTTCTGGGAGAGGTCCTGGGGCTCTGGGAAGGGGTCCTGGGGCTCAAGGGTTGTTTTGAGACTCTGGGAGGAGGTCCTGGGGGTCAGGAGGGTCTCGGGGCTCTGGAATGTTCCTGGGTCCCTGGGAGGGTTCCTGGGACTCTGAGGAGGGTCCCAGGTCTCCCAGGAGGCTCCAAGGTGGTTCCTGAGAATTGGGAAGGGTGTGGTGGATGGTGTCACCACAGTGTCCCCCGGGGTTAACGCCGTCCCCGCCGCAGGGTGGACGACGTGGTGAGATCCATGTACCCACCGCTGGACCCCAAACTGCTGGACGCCAGGTGACACCAGCAGGAGGGGCAGGGGCATTCCTGGGGCTGGGGAGACACCCTGGGTGGTAACACAGATCAGTTCCACCCCGTGCCACACCACTGGGGACACCCACAGATGACCCAGCAGGACGGGAAGGGCCCTTGGTATGAGCCCATGGTGCAGGGCACAGAATACGCTGAGCTGGGAGGGACCCACAAGAATCATCAAATCCAACCCCTGGCCCTGCACAGACACCCCAACAATCCCACCCTGTCCCTCAGAGCATTGTC